ACAGTATCAAGGCTAACCGTGTACAGACGTTTGGGAAATATTGAACTTTATGCTCGCAGACCTGTCAGATGTGTTCCGCTCACGGCAACGTACCAGTGATTAGCCAAGAGTAGAGAACATGCAATTTGAAAATCGTCACAGTGGACTTGTGTGATTTTTTCCGACCAGTCCAGGTTCCGACCAGTCCATGTTTCACTCAGTTTGATTCATATCGGACTTTCATACGGGGAACACCAGACACCAGCTACAACCAAGACAACATCAGTAAATGACACCGTTAAGGTGGTGCAGGATTGTTTTTTTTTCGGGGGGTGGGAATTATACTGGGCTCCAAAACAAGTATGTAGGTTCATACTAGAACCGTGAAAAAAACCAAATTTATCGGTATATCATTCTGAAACAACATGTACATTTATTTAGGGGTGCCATGGACTCACAATTTGTGTTTAAGAATGTCAACGCATATCTTTACCGAGAAAACATCCTAAACGAAAACCTTTAATCTGAGGATATCACTCGTGTGGTTAGCATGCTCACCTGACTTGAATCCGATGGAGCATACGTGAAACATACTTGGTCGACGTGTTGCAGCCCACCAACCCCCTCCTACATGTGTACCAGAACTTTGGAGATTATTGCTTGCTGAGGAGAGTTGTTTTCCCCAAGATCAGCTTGATAATTTGATACCCAAAATGCCTAGCCGTTGTACGAATTGTATATCATCGCATAGGAGCCATACAATGTATTAACTGTCATATCAACTATGTAATATTGAGTTTTTGTAAAGGAGATATTTTCTATAATTGCTTTAGGAGAAAGCAAAATCGTAGTTTTTATGAATGGTATCATACATGCACCATCTTTTTTGTTTTTTTTACATTTTGTTTAATAAACGAGCTTTATAAATAGTAATATTTGTTTTGTTTCTGAATCTTTTCTTGCCGGATCTGACATTATCCTTAATTTATGAGCATGAGTGTAAATTTTGATTTTCCCATTCATAATATTTCTTTTTTTCTTCCTTTAAAAAAAATGCAAATGTGTTTAAGATTCTAATTAAGTTTATGCATTTATTGAAGCTTACAAAATCTCGTTTTAAAATTATTATCCCTTAAAAATGTTCAAAAAACAATTGAGAGCTTAAAGCCTATATCGAGGTGCCTGCATAAGCATGTTTTGTTTTGTAATCGGCTTAATAACTACAGTTTTAAGTTTCACTTTTTTTTCAGTTAATTCTTTTAAATTAAGTTAATTATGAAATAAAAGAAAAGTAAAACTAACACGCACATTTTTTAAAATAAAGTATTAAGAAATAGGATTTTCTTTTGAATGGTTTTAAAAACAGTTGGAAATATTTTAAAATACTTAAGTCATTGCTGTTATTAAAGAATTTAAATTATTGAGTTTTTCTATTGAGCTGAAAGTATTTTATTTTTAATAATGCTAGGTATTCAGAAACATGAATTTTGAAGATAAAAATGGTTGAATAGTTTCAGAGAAATAAATATTTAAAAAATAACTTTAAAAAATACTGAATTTTTTGCACCTGTTATTCCTTTAAAACATTTAAACAAAAATTTTCTTCAAAATTAGTACATTCTCACTTTATATAATGTAAATTGTTTTATATTTAATAATCATTATACCTTCGCAGTGGCGTACGCAGAATTTTTTCAAGGGGGGTGTTCATAATTTTCTGAAACTACTAAAAGAAATTCGAGTCTGTAATAAAGCACTATTATTTCCCTAATTTAGACAGCTAGACAATTTTGACTTTTTATTTAGACAACATTGTTTAGTTAAATTTTGATTTGATGTTTTAAGTTTAAGAACATAATGTAATATCTTCTGAAAAAAGTCCAATGTCATATGGGTGGGAAGTAACACTTTGAGGGCCACTTTCACATTCATCAGATTTTGTTATGCTAGAAACGTTTTCTTCAACGGAAGTATCACATTTCTGTACAACAGAAAAGCTTATATTGGTATTAGATGCTGTCACCTCACTAAGTTCAGGTCGTGATTTTTTCTCAAAGTAATTAAAAATTGTTGAATTCTTACCTTTTGACATCCTAAAGATCCAAGAACAGCAAATATATATATATCACGTGATTTTGGTTTCAAAAGTACAACCCTATTATAGTAAATGTTTTTTCGGTATTCTGAGAAATACCATGAGAAAAAAAAGTAGGCATAAGGCACATAAAAATATATAGTCTTAAAAAATAATAGCTCGCATAATTTCTACTAAAATTTTTATTTTTGCCATTTTGTCTGAGCTCAAGGGGGGTGTTTAAACCCCTAAACCCCTCCCTTGCGTACGCCACTGTACCTTCGAGCCATTAAGATTCAACACTATTTCGTGAAATTCCGTTCATTAGATCAAAAGTTATTCAGATTGTCCGCTTCGTTTTGAGCACAGTGCAAATGGCGTACTGGCAAAATGATAGAACAGATGCTCGAAATTCACACCACCAGTTGTTAAAAAAGCCTGGTTACGATTGAAAGCGAACGCACAAAGAATCTATGATTTTAGAGCAGCTCAGCCGAGTCTTGCCAAATTCAGTTGAGACTCCATGGCTCTTAATACGTGATAGCTTTGACACCTATCTAAAGATAGAGTCGAAAATCTCTGAGAGCAAGCGCCACCTAGCAGCAGCTACGTAATGCTTCAAGGTGCACAGGAGCATTACGGTGATGGGATAAAGAACATCACTTAACGGCGTACAATAATCTTTTGATTATGAGTTGCTATGCAATTTTCAAGCTTTTTATGTGCTCTACAATCCAATGGAAGTGGTCGCAATGTTTTTGAGATGCCTGAAATTTTTTATTTAACTTCTTAATTAATTTTAATTTTTGGATATTTTTTAGATTTCGTCCTATATTGTGACAAATGCCTAGATAATAAGCAGTTGAGCAGAAAACAAATTTAATTTAATTAATTATAATTTAAGTTTTTATTTACCAAAACTAGAAGTTAACGAAAAATTTAAAAATGCAACAGTTTCTGTGCAAGAATTTGCATATCTCAAAATCATCCTAAGAAATATATGCTGATATAGAAATAAAGACAATAATTATAAAAATAGACACTTCATGATGAATTAATCTATCTCCCAAAATGACCACACCCTATCGATTCATTAACTCAGATTGCTAAGAGAAAATCTACAAGTGAAAGGAAGAAATCTGAGGATAATTTGTGTCATGATTAAATATTTAACAAATGTATTACAGAGCAATTTTACAAACTGTGTGATTTATCGTGATCTTAAATTATTCATCACTTTTTGTCACAAAGAGTTCACTCAATTCAATGAAAATAAAATGATCGAAGTAATGAGAAGAAGGATGAAAACTTTTGTTGAAAAAGTATTAAATTAAACAATTTTGTAATTGATAGTTTCAGTCTGTTATTAAATTTTATTGTTTTTCAATTAGTTGAATGAAGAGGAAAACATTTGATTTAAAATTAATCAATATAAGCTTTTGTTGAAATACATCTCATTGATATGTAAGATTTCCTCATGTTATTAGCGTTTATTGTTTTTTATTAATTAAATGAAACCTCGACTCAAAATTAATTAATTAAAGATGTTTAAACTTTTGTTGAAATTTAAAATTAAGCCTCTTTGAAGTGTAAGATTTCATTATGTAATTAGTGATAAATAATTTTTAATAATTAAAAAAATGAAAAACATTCTATTGAAAATGGATCAATTTAAGCTGTTCTTGAAAAGTATTAAATTAAATCAGTTTGACGGGTAAGGTTTCATTATGTTATTAGTGTTCTAATAGTTATTATTTATTAAATGGAAATGAAGTAAAATTGATTGAAAAATTATCAATTAAAACTATTTAAGCTTTTATTGAAATGTAATATACATCGCTTTGAAGCATAAAATTTTGCTTTGTCATTAGTGTTTTATTTTTCTATAGATTATAGAATTCTAAAGGAAACTAGATTGCAAATTGATTAAGTTGAGCAATTTTTTAAAAACTAAAAATGAAACAAACCTTCGCAAAACACTTGTAGGAATTATTTTACTTAGTTCTTTCCTTTAACTATTTATTTATAATTAATATTTAATTATTTTTGTTCGCATCAAAAACGCTATCTCATTAAAGCAAAATACACTTCAAGAAATTTCTTTCAAACTCCAGAGCTCCTTTATAAAAATGTTGTAGAGTGTTTTAGATTATTTTCCAAAAAAAGGGGGGGGGAAATAGTGGCTTGAGTTTTGGGATATAATTTTAACTTAAAACTCTGATCTTTACTTTGAATAAAACATTTGAAACCAAAATTTAAAGCAAAATTGCGCTTTGAACAGCAAATTTTTTATCTCGCAAAAATACACATTTTTGCGTATAAAAAACACGGATTCGTTATAAATCCTAAAGCTACAGGGCGATTCCTTTCTATTTTTTTTGCATTTACATTGATGTTTATGTTTTGACAAATGCATCAGTTAACTTCGCGCATCACGAGGGGAAGGAAACCGTGGAATTGCAATTCAATAATTAGTTCCATAATTAAAATTTGTACTTATAAAATTTTTTTGAGATGATAATATATTCTAATATACTAGGTATTCAAGAGTCTTACACTGAGAACAAAGTATTGTCAAAACTACTAGAATGTGGTAATTTACCATGTTCTAGTATCATATGGGAAATTACTCTATGGAAACACTGAACAAAATTTTTGGTAATAATTTTGCGTAAAATTAACAATAAAATATGGTTTCATCATCATGGTGTTGATAACAAAAACTATAATTTTGAAAATCAGAATTTTCGGTTAACCATTTCCATGCAAGCGGAAAAATTGCCAGATAGAATGGTGCTTAAATACCGTATATTTTGCTTTTATTACCAGAAATATGTTGTTGTTTTTTTTTACCAGAAATGTCATTACCATACAATTACGGTAATTTTACCAGAACTTTTTTTTTCCGTGTAAAAAATAAATATCTATACTTGAATTTATTACTTACCTTTACATTTATAATTTTTGCGTTTGACATAATCATCGAAGAAAGCTCTATTTCTAATATTTTAAGATCATTAATAAGATCACTTGCGCTTCTGTTAAGAAAGAGTTGCTACTAAAAGGTTAAAAAAAGATGCATTGGAAGCATAGTGAGATAATCTGAAGAGTATCAATCCAGCGACTAAACCTGAAAAACAAAATAAAGAATTTTTAGAATATAGTTATGCTTCAAAAACATTAATGTTTCATTTTTTTTCAATGCTCACTATGGAATGCTTTGTATATTAATATCCCCTTTATTCGGCAACATAACCAATTCGCTCTGTTCTCCTCTTTCAATAGTATGTATTTTTCATGCATATACTACTCTGAATTATTGCTTTAGATGCATAGTACTGAAAACAGTTGCTAAATCTCCAAAAGTAATATAGTTTTAATCTCAGTATAAGATTTTTGTACAATTATCTCATAATTTTTGTTATATTTTAAAGATAAAAAAAGGTAGGGAAACAAACCTCCAGTCACTTAGCATCATCATCAAGCAGAAAATATAGCTTAAATATCCCTATAAGAATTCTGCATTATTCCCATATTATTTTACCATGTTTAAAAAGAGGGTGTGAAAAATGAGAAAAGGTTCACAAGGAAACCTCCAGTAGTTTAGCATCCCTATTAAAAAATAAATATCTTTCAAATAGCTGTTCAAGAATTCGGCATAGTTTACACATTATTCTACAATATTTTAAAGAAGAAGAAAAAAGTACGCGAACGAAACTACTCCAGGTTAGCATCCTTATTGAGCAGTAAATAAAGCTTAAATATCCCCATGATAGTTCTGCATAGTTCACACATTATTCTCTTATGTTTAAAAAGAAAAATGTAAACAAAATTTCTCAACTTAATGTCTAAGCAGTAAGTTTCGTTGCAATATCACTCTAAGAATTCGCTATAAAGCACACATTGTTTTTTTTTATAATTAAAATGGAGAAAACAAACAAACCTGCAGTAGTTTAGCATCCCTATTAAGCAGTAATATCGTTTGAACATCCCTTTAAGAATTTGGCATAGTTCGCACATTTTTCTACAAACTTTAAAAAGAAAAAGGCACGCACACAAGCCTGCTCAACTCAGTATGTAATCGTTAAGTATCGTTTTAATATCACTCTAAGAATTCGGTAAGGCTCACGCATTATTTTACTACATTTTAAAGTAAAAAAGGTACGAAAACAACCATTGCTAAAATATTACTTTATGAACAGTTTGGCATAGTTTTCACATTACTACTACGTCTTAAAAAATAAAAAAAAAGGTTTGCTAACAAGCCTCTACTAGCTTAGCAAACCTATTAGGTAGTAAATACCGAAATATTATTTTAAGTATTTTGCATAGTTCGCACGTTTGAAGCGAAAAAATGTATGCAGATAGCAAAAAGCTCACATTTCAGTTTAAGAAATAGTACACTCATTCATGGCACCTGCTGATTGTAATACGAGAAAGCGCTTGCAAACACGAGTTACTTTTTTTTTAACCTACAAGTAAGTAGTCGACTACTTTAAATAATACGGTATTAACGCACTTTTTTGGCTTTGCAAGAGTTGCGTATTCCTTTGGTTTTCGAAAATTTAACGATTGAAGGTAAAATGTTTCTCCCTCTTCATTGGTTCAAAATTCCTTTTGAACTGAAAAAGAAATCTAGATAAGTTAAAATAAATACTTTTGCTTATATGAAACTCTGTTTCGAAAACTATATTTTGAGTAACGGAAACAGAATACATATTAGCGAGCATTTTAGCTATATAAATGATCAGATAACGATATAATTTAATATCTATTATAGTGTTTTACAAAAACGACTGAAATGGAGCATTAAAAGGATACTTTTATACATATGTTCAACCAGAAATAATCATTGCTTTATCTTAAATATTAAATGCATGCAAATTATGACGTTTCATATTTAACCATATTGGATTATTCTGTAAATGCTGTGAATACCATGTATTTAAATTATTTCTATAGTTTAAATTTAATAACAAAAATTCTGACTCCTCTAACATTTAATGATCAGAAGTAATAGTTTAAACTAAAATGTAAGCCTACATCAAAAATCATTTCTGTTATATGTGGTTCGTAACTCAAAAATTTGAAAACAAAACTTACATTTTTGCCTTTTTAAATAGTTGAAAATTAGGCATTCACTGGATATTTAAAGTGCGAATTTTAGAATTTTGCTTGCTTAAATTTATTTGAAATTTCTCAGTAAATTGATCAGTTTTATAACTTAATTTTAAAAGAATTTCTATTAATAAACCCTTAAAAACTGTGAAAAATACTTAATAATGAAAAAAAAATTATTTCTCCAGTCTCAAATATCAAGAGAGAAAAAATAATAAATAGATGCATAATAAAATTGGATACTGGAAGAAAATCATATTTTAATTATAGCAATTTTCGAGAAAAATAAAAAATCAAACAATGTTTTTTACAAAATTATGCGTCTTAATATTCTCAAGTTACAACAATAAGTCAGTAAGTTTTGTGAATAGTTATTATTATTTCACTAAACTATCCTTAGTAATGTAAAGCTTAAATCAAAATTTTAGGGAAGCTAATAAGAAGTTGAGATGATAGAAGAAAAATAAATGAAGAAATAACTAAATAAATAAATTTTTTAAATACAAAAAAATATCACTTCATTGCAAATTAACGCAAAATTGTCACTGTAATTTTTAGAATGTCTTTAAAAAACTATGTTATTGATAAAATACCGTTTTCAAATGACAGTGTGTTTTTGCTTTTTGGTAAATGTAAAATAACTCAGCAATTTTCATGATGATGTAATGTAAAGTTATCTAAGATTAAATGAAGAAAAACAAAATAAATGTAAAAGAGGTAAAAAAGGACAAATTAAATGAATGATATAAAAAACAAACAGAAATGAAATTTTTTTGCCCATTTCATTTTTAGAAAATTTAAATTATTGAACGTTACATGGTTTCACAATATGTTTGAAAAACTTTTGATTTTTAAAAACTGTGTCCTCTTAAGCTTTCATAAAATAATGTTAGATGAATTGATCAATTTGTATATTGATGTAATGTAAAGTTATTCACAAGAGATTAAATGAAGTAAAATAAAATAAATGAATAAAGGGGAAAATAAATGAATGATAGAAAAAACAGGAAACTCACTATTTTATTTTCAGAAAATCTAAAGTTAAAATACTGAACATTACATAGATTACACACAATACACTTTTGAAAAAGTTTGAAAAATTATTTTGAAGAACCATGTCCTCTTAAGCTTTCATAAAACAATGTCAGATAAACTCATCAGTTTGTATAATAATATAATGTAAAGTTATGTAGGATTAAATGAGGTAAAAAAACATAAATGTTAAAAAAAAACCAATAAAATGCATTATATAAAAAACAAACAGAAATTCTGACTCACTGTTTCATTTTTAGAAAATCAAAAATCAAAATGCTGATTACATGGCTTACACACAATATGTTTTCGAAATGATTTTTAAGAACGAATAATCGATGATTTTTAAGATCTATGTTCTCATAAAATAGTGATAGACCAACTCATCAATTTGTATAATGATATAAATAAGTTATTAATAAGAGATTAAATGAAATAAAACAAAATGAATGAATGATGCAAAAAACAAAAAGCAAAGAATAATCTGACTAATTAGTTATTAATACAGGAGTAAATGAAATAAAACAAAATAAATGCAAAAAAGAACAAAATAAATCAATGGCATAAAAACATACAAAAATGAAAATTCTGACTCACTGTTCCATTTATAGAAAATCTAAAATTAAAATAGTGAGCATTACATAGCTTTCGCACAAATGAGGTTTTATTTAAAGTATTAAGTGTTCTGCTTAATTGAAGTAGTTGTTCGACTTTAATAAAGTCTTTTTCTCTTCTACAGAAAGAGTGTTGTTCACTCCAATTGAAAAGAATTTTAAAGTAATTTCGAGAGCACTTCCGAATTTGATTAAAAGACGCTTTTAATTTAAAAGAGTCGTTCAGTGACACGTGAACTGAGTATTAATTACATTTTCAAATTGTACATAAATGTATTTAGAGTTTATTAAATATACTTGTGAAAATATTTCGTCGAAAAACTTTAATCTTACTTCATTAGAGTTGCAACTTATTGTCATATGCATTTAGCTGTAAAACTTTCGCTTAAAACTCGCTTAATTATGAGCTGTATTTAAAATCAAGCTTACTTTCAAAATGAAACAAATTCGTTTCTCTCTAATCAAAGTGCCAATTTTAAAAACTAATGATACGTTTATGTGATGCATAGTTACCAAATTAATAGTTTCGAATTTTTGAATTTGTTTATTTTGTTTGGTTAAAAAGGAATTTTTTGGTACTTTATGTTTTATTTCTACTTTTATTTACTTTAATATTAATTATTAATTCAATATTTAGTACTATTTATATTTTAATTTAAAAGACATTAGTACTTATAGGCATTTTTCTATGTTTAAAGCTCAAAATAACATAAACGAATAGTTTAAGTTCCAAGTAGGTTGTCTGGTTGTTTTAAAACTTTAAAATAAAATTATTTATTGTCTTTAATTCAGTTTTGTTAACAAGAAGAAATACGAAAATTTTTACAAATTTTCAAGTGTAAACTACAGTAGATTAAAGTGATTGTTTTAATAAAGTCAACAAATCTTTATACACTTATTTCATTTCATCTTACAAAATTTTCTCTAAGTTTATAACATTCTTTTATTTCAAAAAACAAAAAGTTATAATTTGCCAAGCTGATTAACTCTAAAATTCTACATATTGAAAATAAATTTTTTGAAGTAATTAAGTTTTTAAAATATGTTTACATTTTTTTCCTGCTTAATTGCCTTGGGAAATTGACATGAGGTGAATGAACTAATTTTAAAGCAATAAATGAGTTTCTGTAGATGACGATATGGTGATAATTGTTTTAAATATCTGTTTCATCTAAGTCTTTATAAAATGTTAATTATTTTCTATGCAAAATCAGATGGAAACTCATTTGAAAATTATTATAAATTATGGTTTTGGTAATGATATTATATTCTCAGAACATAAAAATTAAACATAATAGCTGTTTACTCAGATAAATTCTAACTTAACATGTTTAAGTAAAGTGGTAAAAAATGTTTCTTAGATAAG